TGTAAAACAGTACCCCCTATGTACAGGTTTTATGGCGTTTTGGGAAGTTACAGGGTCAAATATAGCACGTTACATTTGAAATTGAAATTCACCAGATTGGTTACGTTTGCCTTTGGGACTTTATAGTAGCCCAGGAATGAAATTTACACCCATAATTGCATACCATTTGCAATAGTAGACAACCCAAGGTATTGCAAATGGGGTATGTCCAGTCTTTTTTAGTAGCCATTTGGTCACAAACACTGGCCAAAGTTAGCATTAGTATTTATTTGTGTGAAAAATGCAAAAAAGCCAATTTTGGCCAGTGTTTGTGACTAAGTGGCTACTAAAAAAGACTGGACATACCCCATTTGCAATACCTTGGGTTGTCTACTATTGCAAATGGTATGCCATCATAGAGGTAATTTTCATTCTTGGGCTACCATAGGGTCTCAAAGGCAACGTAACCAATCTGGCGAATTTTAATGTGAAAAAAATGAAACGCAAGCCTTATATTTGACGCTGTAACTTTTGAAAACACCATAAAACCTGTACATGAGGGGTAATGTTGTACTCGGGAGACTTCGCTGAACACAAATATTTGAGCAAAAAGTATCACAGCAATAATATCGTCCGTGTAAGTGCTGTTTGTGCATGAAAAATGCAAAAAATGTCACTTTTACTGGCGATATCATCGTTGTAATACATTTTACTGTTTTGAAACACTAATATTTGTGTTCAGCGAAGTCTCCCGAGTAGAACAGTACCCCCCATGTACAGGTTTTATGGTGTCTTGGAAAGTTATAGGGTTAAATATAGTGCTAGCAAATTAAATTCCCTTTACTTTCGGCATGGGTTGTCAGGCAGGTCCCGCTAATTGTAATTAATTAAGATACCTAATTATGTAAAAATATTGCATAAATATATATGTAGAATTAATATATGTATATATATATATATGTATGTGAGTCTATATGTGTATATATATATATATATATATATATATATATAATTTTTTAAAATATTTTTATTTATATATAGGTATATATAGTGATATATATGTATATATTTATGTATGTAGATATATATATTATTTCATTCTACGTGTATTCTGATATAAATATATATATATATATATATATATATATATTAATATCACAATACAGTTAGTACGAAATAACACACATCTATATAATTTTTAATTATTTTTTTTATTTTGGTTTTTAACGTATTTACATATTTAATTTTTTATATTATATATAAATATATATATATAACAATAATTATATATATATTTAATCAGTATCAGTCTACGTGTAATTTGATATTAATATATATATAATTATATATATATTAATAGTAAAATACACCTAGACAGTGTACGTGTGTGTATGTATATGTGTATATATATATATACTTAGATCATATATATATAACATATATATATATGATCTAAGTATACATTTTTTTTTTTACACTTATAAATTTTATTTTAATTTTATTTCTAGCCAGCAGGGGGGCCACCTATAATTACAGGCAGCCCCCCTGCTGGCAATACAGAAGCCAGCTATCCCGGCCATGTGATTGTGAGGTCCTCGCAAGGACCTCACTCTCACATGGCCAGGTGGCACCGGAGGAGGAGGATCTGCTGCGGGGGGGCTCCCTGGGAGTCTCCCCCACGCGATCACCGGCGTGGGACCGCCGGCGACTGGGTAAGTAAACAAAAACCGGAGGGCGTACAATTACGCCCGGCGGCGTTTAGAGCCGCTTAAAATAAGACGTAATTGTACGCCCTCTGGTCTGAAGGGGATAATAGGGCTCTCTTTACAGGAAGTGTTTATGGAAGACTGTGCAAGTCACATGCAGGGAGGTGTGACTAGGGTTCATAAACAAAGTGATTTAACTCCTAAATGGCAGAGGATTGAGCAGTGAGGCTGCAGGGGCATGTTCTATACACCAAAACTGCTTCATTAAGCTAAAGTTGTTCAGGTGACTATAGTGTCCCTTTAAACAACACAATGTAACTCCAAGTCAATCACACTTCTGTGAAATCAAACTGTCCACTTAGGAAGCAACACTGAGTGACAATCAATTTCACATGCTGTTGTGCAAATGGGATAGACAACAGGTGGAAATTATAGGCAATTAGCAAGACACCCACAATAAAGGAGTGGTTCTGCAGGTGGTGACCACAGACCACTTCTCAGTTCCTATGCTTCCTGCCTGATGTTTTGGTCACTTTTGAATGTTGGCGGTGCTTTCACTCTAGTGGTAGCATGAGACGGAGTCTACAACCCACACAAGTGGCTCAGGTAGTGCAGCTTATCCAGGATGGCACATCAATTCGAGCTGTGGCAAGAAGGTTTGCTGTGTCTGTCAGCGTAGTGTCCAGAGCATGGAGGCGCTACCAGAAGACAGGCCAGTACATCAGGAGATTTGGAGGAGGCCGTAGGAGGGCAACAACCCAGCGGCAGGACCGCTACCTCTGCCTTTCAGCAAGGAGGAACAGGAGGAGCGCTGCCAGAGCCCTGCAAAATGACCTCCAGCAGGCCACAAATGTGCATGTGTCAGAAACAGACTCCATGAGGGTGGTATGTGGGCCCAACGTCCACAGGTGGGGGTTGTGCTTACAGCCCAACACCGTGCAGGAAGTTTGGCATTTTCCAGAGAACACCAAGATTGGCAAATTCGCCACTGGCGCCCTGTGCTCTTCACAGATGAAAGCAGGTTCACAATGAGCACATGTGACAGACATGACAGAGTCTGGAGACGCCATGGAGAATGTTCTGCTGCCTGCAACATCATCCAGCATGATCGGTTTGGCAATGGGTCAGTAATGGTGTGGGGTGGCACTTCTTTGGGGGGCTGCACAGCCCTCCATGTGCTTGCCAGAGGTAGCCTGACTGCCATTAGGTATCGAGATGAGATCCTCAGACCCCTTGTGAGACCATATGCTGGTGTGGTTGGCTCTGGGTTCCTCCTAATGCAAGACAATTCTAGACCTCATGTGGCTGGAGTGTGTCAGCAGTTCCTGCAAGACAAAGGCATTGATGCTATGGACTGGCCTGCTAATTCCCCAGACCTGACTCCAATTGAGCACATCTGGGACATCATGTCTCGCTCCATCCACCATTTAAATGTACAGACTATTTATTGGCACATTTTTTTTACTAACATGCAAACCATATTATTAAATCTAATGTTTCCAGATTAAAACTGTTCACACTGAGCATATGCTCAATGCTTAAAATACTGCATTGAAATATGGTTACTATTTCTATTTCTTTAAATTTTCTTTATTAATTTTCTATTATCTCTTTTGTCACTTGGCCACAATATGATAAACAGACTTCACAGGTAAAACATATTTATACATTAATACATATAAGCCGTCTTTCACAGCCTTCTCGGCCATCAGATGAAAGAAAAGAAATATCCAGGCACACCTGAGGTTTCTTCTAAAAGGCAGTCTTTTTATTTGAAACAAGGAAATGGAGACAACATTTCGACTCCTCTTTGAGCCTTTATCAAGTCTTGATAAATTTTCTGATAGACCCCCTTTATTCAAGAAAAATTTACTCCTACTCTCAATTTCTCATTAATAGTTACATATTTACATAGCCGAAAAGAGACTTGCGTCCATCAAGTTCAGCCTTTATAATATTTTTTTTTTGTTGTTGATCCAAAAGAAGGCAAAAAACCCAGTCTGAAGAGCTTCCAACGTTGCAACAATATAGGAAAAAAATCCTTCTTGACGCAGAATGGCAGATTCAGATATCTCCTTGGATCAAGAAGCTATTACCCTACTAATTAAAATTATATTCCTGTAAGTTATGTTTTTGCAAGTATTTATCCAATTGCTGTTTCAAAATCTGTATAGACTCTGATCAAACCACCTCTGCAGGCTGAAAATTCCATGTCCTTATTTTTCTTACTGTAACAAATCCTTTCAATTGCCTTAGACTAAATCTCCTTTCCTCTAGTCTAAATGCATGACCTTGTGTCATATGCATAGTCCTGTTTATGAATACATTTCCATACAATGGTTTGTATTGGCCTCACATATACTGTATAATCACATCCCCTCTGAGACACCATTTTTCCAAACTAAAGATATTTGAATATGTTAAACTTTCTTCATAACTAAAATTCTCCATTCCTTTTATCAGTTTTGTAGCCCGCTTCTGCACTTTGTCTAGTGCCATAATATCCTTCTTTAGAACAGGTGCCCAAAACTGCACCACATATTCAAGGTGTGGTCTTACCAATGTTTTATAAATATGCAAAATTATATTTTCATCCCAAGAATTAATGCCCCAATATATATATATAATATTGCCTCACTGTCCTTAGCAGCTGCTAAATGACATTGCAAATTGTTGCCTAGTTTGCTGTCTATAACAATTCCCAAAGCCTTCTCATGTATTGTTATCCCAACTTCAGTACTATTTATTTTGTTAGTTGTTGTGCATTCTTTAGCCCAAAGTGCATGACTTTGCATTTTTCTACATTAAATTTCATCTCACATTTGAGTGTCCAGTCCCCCAATATATCTAAATCAGTTTGCAGCTAAGCAATATCCAATATGTTCTACCCAAGAAGATGAATTTTCATCTAGACCAATTGCTTTTAGTTTGAACACTAACCTATTGTGAAGAACAGTATCAAATGCCATGGCAAAAACCAAGTAGATCACATCCACTGCTACACCCTGATCTATACTTCTACTTACTTCTTCATGGAATGCAATTAGGTTAGTTGACATGACCTATGTTTCATAAAGCTATGCTGATTATTGCTAATAACAATGTTCAAAGAACAAAAGGAGATGGGAGGGGTAACCTGAACTAATTGATGAACTACAGTATTAAAACGTAATGTTTAATAGATAATTTAAAAGTCCAAATAGAACAGAAAGAACAAAAGACAATACACTTAGAAAAACTATATGTGGAAAATAAAAATAAAACACACACTCAAACAATTATCTTCTGTTTCAGTTTTTCCGCAATCTCGCTACCTCCTTTCTACCTCCTTTCTTTGTATTTGGCTAATATATATATATATATATATATATATATATATATATACGGCTGCAATTAGCCAAATACAAAGAAAGGAGGTAAAAAACTAAACAAAAAACATCTATGTCTATATCAATATATAGTACTTATGTCTGTTTAGATATATATAAACTATCACTTAGACATGCTATCGTAATAATATGAACTTCCTGGTGAACGGGGGAGAGATATCAACCCTCTAAGTTGTTAGTGATATAATGCCGTGTCTATGTAGATTATCTATGTATATAATGCCAAGGGTAATGAACTAATTCATACTCGCGACACAGCAGACAAACAGAAACAGAGGGTAATTACTGTTAGAATCATTCTGCTGAATAGCTCTGTAGTGTATTATCTGTTGCAGCAGGGTTACCCAGATATAATGCTAAAGACACTGAACTAATTCATACTAGCGACATAGCGGAAAAACAGAAACAGAAGGTAATTGCTGCTAGGATCATTCTGCTGAATAGCTCTGTGATATGTTAACTGTTGCAGCAAGATTATCGTTAGTAACCATGTAACTGTCCTCGCTGACAAAGTAGCATATATACAATGTTGCTGATATCTGTTTTAAAACAGATTGTGCAATTGTGATTCTAATAGCTACATGTGATAGATACAGTGTTCTTAAGTATTCTGTTGGTCTAAGGAGGTACGTGCCAAAGATGGGTGAACAGGGTGCTAAATCATAGCCACATTTGATAGATGCAGTGTTCTTAGATATTCTGTTAGTATAAGGGGGTAAGTGCCAAAGTGTGGTAAACAAAGTACTAAATCAAACGAGATAGATGCTGGAAATACACTAACAATGTTCTTCCTAATGAATTCCTGAATATTATAATACACGATAACAAAAGAAAAATATTACAATAAATCATTATAATAGTAAATTCTCCTACTTTTTAAATCCAGTTATATAATAATCTAAGTTTGGCAACTTAAAATTAGCATTGAAAAAAATGCTAATATTTTGTAGCCATTAGAACAGGAAATATTGTAGCTGTTTTTGCTTGATAGCGTAGTCATAAGCACCATTTTTGCTACTAATTTGGCTCAAATTGCCTTCCTAATTGACAATACTAGTTAAATGCCAATAGACAGGAGCCCCACCAATAGAACTGGGCTAAGGATAAATATATAATTACTGAAGGAGAATATAAGTATGTAGACAGTAATTATTCTACAATTCCTGTTTTTTATAAATTTCCTATAATACATAAAAATCCCCAGTTCCTCCGGGTAGGCCCATAGTAGAGGGCACAGGATCCATTTTGCTACCACTGGCAGAAATATTGGATACACTCCATATAAAATATGTACCATCACAGAAATCGTACATCAAGGACACCACCAAATTCCTCAAGTTATTGAGACTCTTATCATACCTGACAGTGAGGAATGGTTGGTGACCCTTAATGTACAGTCTTTTTACACTTCTATTAACCATGAGGCAGGACTACAGTCAATTGACTGGACATTGGATACAAATTCAAGAATGGTACAGTACTGGGACACAAAGGATTATATACTGAAACTATTGAAGTTTTTATTTACTTATAATTACTTTTTATTTGAGGACAAATTATATAAACAGATTAAGGGGACAGCAATGGGCTCAAATGTAGGCTCCATCTATGTGGACCACTTGGAAGAAATGTACCTTTATAGACTTCCACAATTTGAGAAATGTCTGATATAGAAGTGGTTCATAGATGATGTTTTCATGTGTTGGGATGGCACATTGAAACATTTTTTGGACAAATAAATAATCTGGTTCCCAATATAGAGTTCACAATGACTTGTGACAGGTATACGGTTCCATTTCTAGATGTACAAGTAAGTAGGCTGGAGAGGATTTTATATAGTGACATTAATACTAAGCCCATGGACAGGAATAAAACATATGACCGTTTTCATTCCACACACCTCAAAGATGATCTAGCTTACAGACAGCTTTTGAGGGTAAGAATAATAATTTCACAGTAAGCTAAGGTTGAATCTTATGATTACCCACCTACTTTTATTGAGGGACATTAAAAAATGGTACAGGATCTAACCAGGGAATAAGTATTACATATTACAGTAAGGAAGAATTGATTAGAGAGGATTCCTCTCAATCTCTACTCCCTTGTGTAATGATTTTAAGAAAACTATGTACTTAAACATTTGTATATATTTGAAAGAGACATCAATCTACCAGCAGAGTTCAGAAATCTTCATTTTTTTCTCTTAAGAGAGGGCAAGGAATGTGAAAGACATGCCAGTGAAATCAGATATAGGCAGTAATAAGAGACAGGTAAAATATTTCTCTGAACCTAAGAAGGGTAAATTTCCCTGCTACGGTTGTTCACACTGTAATAATGTAATCAAGGGAGAATAGTTTGTACATCCTCATATTGGCATGAAGTACAGAGTCAATGATTACTACACATATAATTCAGACCATGTGGTCTATAATCTAAAGTGTCCTTGAAGAAATGATCAGACATGTCAGGGAGCCTATAGCAGAGCATAAGAGGGGAATTAGGGCAGCACTGCAAATAGATATTTGGGAGGAACCGGTACCAAAACCTATAATGATCCCTTACCCAGTGCACATAAGGAGGCAGCAAACCATGTATCATAATTTCCCTTTATAATTTCCCTTTATGAAAACAGATTCTGTATAATTGCATATGTCCATGGGACTCTATGTGATCATATCATATTTTCCTCTAACATGCCATGCAGTGATGGGCCTTGACCAGTTATGGTCCGAGCCTCTTATGTATCTCCTTCACCCCCTATTCATTTTTAACCGCCATTGGTTCGCTACCCAGTAATCGCTAGGCTTCCCCTGTATTGGATCTCCATAAACACTTCTAATATTGCACCACTAGTAAGTTGTTATTTTTCATATTTTGACTCTGGAATTATTTCTCTTTTTTTTTCCTTTATTTTTTTTTTTTTTGCTTTTTATCTTTTACATTTTTTTCATTTTATTGCATTGCTTTCTCACTTATATTACCATTTTCTATTCTTCTCCCTTGATTCAATATAGCAATCTTCTCAGTTTTCTAATTTATTTTTACTACAATTTTTTTATTTGTATTAATAATTTTTATTTAATGCTATGCAAATATAGCATATTGCTTTGGAATATATATATCTACACTTAAGGTCATATTGAATTTTTCCTTTTTCCTCTGTGGTATTTCATTTATTTCTGATGTTTCAGATTTCATTGCCAAAGTTTTTTCATTACAGTCCATTTTCCATTTTTTTCTCGTGCTTTATCCATTCTGTTATATTTGACTAAAAAGTACTTTTATTAATAAAAACAAAAAAATATATAAATATAAAGCAAATACAAGTAGATAAAGCAGAAGATAAAACAATATATTAATACACGTCACATGAACTGGATTTATCCAAAGTGTTTCAAAGTGTTTTTTTTTTGTTTTTTTATTGGACCTGACCATTTGCTGCTGGATTCCTGGGCTCCATATCCTTGGTGGGGATAAATATCACCTTTGCTTTTTGGATTAAGAAAACCTTACTTTGCTCTACCATATATCTGCATCACCTATATCCTAGAGTGGGGATCATATCACTTCACACTATACTTCTGGAGCCACTGCTAAGGCTCCATAATATAACATCTACCACTACAAGGATTGTCTGTTGAACCTTTATTACACTATGTCCTAAGGATCATTCCACCTAGATATTCGAGTTGGAGCTGGATTTAAGCTTCCCAAAAGTGTGAGTGCACTTTTTATCTAGTTAATTTCTGTTGTGATATTTTAACTTGCTACACTATTAGTTTTACAAAAAGGGCAAGAGAGAAACACCAGATTTGGTGGTTAAGCTGGCTCACTGTACTATACTAGTAGAGGCACTGCATTTCCTCTGTTTTTATATTAAGAATTTGGTCTTTGTTTCAAATAAATTTGTATGTGTATTTAAGGCTGTATAAATCTATAAATCATACATATCAACATACACAGTCAAAAAAAACTGCATCATCTAATAAACAGGTTAACAATAAATATAAGCAAAAATAGAAGAAAAGAATTGTCAAATTCCATTTTTTCATCTCATCCCAATAAACTGCTTAGTGATAAATCTTTTTGGAGCCGTGTCATCAGAGTTAAGATATCAACAATAGCACAACAATAATATTTTATTGGTAAATGTGGAAAATGTCCATACCCTGCTAAACTGCAGGTAGATATTAATGCAACTTCATATACACAACACACTCTAAGAAATCAAAGGTAGACCTGAATCATTATCATTTAATCTCCTTGAAATGTGGACATAGTGTATATTTCAAAACCAACACATTACACAAGTCTGACAGATGATGGGTTAAGCAAGAATGTGTTAGCTATTATGAAATAAAGAAAGGATCTTAAATAATTTGCACATATGGAAAGATGACATGAGTGTAAATAATTGAAAAAACACTCATCTAGGGCATCTCTAAATTATTAAACTCTATTGATTAAAAATTAAAACATTATCCAATCAAAGTAAAAAATACACTGTGAAAACAAATTACAAGTATAATGCAGAAATACAGTAGACGTGTTTATTCACAATGAATTGTTTATTAGCATCCTTTTCTCTTTAGCTAGAAGACGTCCTCATGCAGTGGGATTGTAAGGAATGTCATCCTCACTATTCAAGAACATGCAGTGTAGTTCTCAAAGAATGCTGGGTGTAAGGTATGTAGGGATCTGATCACATCTCAAGACATAGCAGCAGGCTATGTAGATAATGGATTTTAGCCAGGTAAGTATGTGAGAACATTGTAGCAATGTAGTGTTTCCAAATGTATTTGGGGAATCTGTATCCCACAAATCCCAGAAGATTCCTTTAAAATACGTATCAGCATGATTGTTTTCTATTCATATTTATAAATTATAGTTTTGCAATTTATGTATTTTGTAAAATTGACATTTTCCTTCTCCACAAAGAAAGGTCGAGCAGAATCTTTAAATATTGTAGTAAAGAATAAAACTCTTTTTTTTTCTTCTCTTCTTCCCCCCCTTGGAAGGGAAAGGGGGTTGGTAAAA